ATTTAGGACACGCTTACAATCGTTACGGGCGGCGGCAAAGAGACGTCTATTGCAGTCAGACATGTCGCTACGGTATAGGTGGAAGTAGTGGTTCCTATGGGCGATGGCGGCTGAGCAAGCAGCCGAAAACCAGGGGCAGGAGTGCGTCTTAACCCTATATTTCCTTGATGGGATGAAAGCGTCGATTCCAGCTTTAACCCAGGAAGAGACCTCAGAAGCACATTCTTGGACGGGGAGCTTAAAGACTCCATCCCAGGGGACATCGCGGAGGAAATCACGGAACGCGTCCCAGTCAGCTCGTTGATAATAGAACGAAGTTCTAGTGGTAGGAGGTTCTTTATAGGTGGAGGAGTTAAAGGAGATGTTAACCGATACTACTGCATGGTCAGAGTTACCAAGTGGGCATAGTTGCGAGGCAGGATTCGGGGATGGAGGTAAAGCACAGGTCGAGTAGAGAGGCTTTACTTACCCGGTTGAGGGCAAAACGAGTGGGGAAGTTAACTATCTGTGTGAGGGAATGGGAGATTGAAAAATTAAGCGTTTGAATGCCTGCATGGTCAGTAGTAGCATTCTTAAGCCACAGAGTGTGATGGGCGTTAAAGTCTCCAAACACAAAAATGTGAGCAAACGGGTGGAGGGAGAGAGCCTTGTCTATGTTGTCTGAAATGCTATCAAGTATCTCACAGTCTTGAGAGGATGGAGAGCGGTAAAGGAAGAAGAGATAGCTTACCGCATTGAGGAGAGAGAGACGGAGACACATGTATGACTGGTCAGGCGATTCAAGAGAGGACTCTCTGGCCAGGGGGAGATGTTCCTTGACGTAGACACCAAGACCGTGCATGTGGGTTAGAGAGTCTTTTCTGAGGAGAGGAAGATAGCCGGGGATCGAGAGATCAGAAGAGGGGATAGATGAGACAAGGTTTGTCTCGCAGAGAGCCAGTACATCCGGGCCGTTTGCAGTGAGGAAAGATTCCAGACTGTAGAAGTTTGTTCTAATGCCCCGGATGTTGGAGAATGAAATGTTGAGGGGTTTAGGTGGTTTCTGAGATGCTGGTTTAGGGTAAATCTTTCGGTTTTGTAACTCATGTTGGATTTATTTGCAAAGATGAGAAGGCCTGAGGTAAGAGAAAACAGACAGTTTCGACCGTGACGCGGGCAGAGAGGAGTTGGCAAAATCCGCATCATTATGTGGCCTCAGGGCTGCCCACCGGAGGTGACTGCAGGGACACCTTTCCACGCGCGACATGGCACTACAAACACCCCGGTATTATACAACTGTTGATCAGAGCAGCCGCTCAAGACGCTACGCAAGAGTTAGGGCTCCTAACTACCAGTCGGAAACAGCAACCAGAGAACTGTCAGCCGTGTACCCTCAGAATGAAGAGATGTTGCCACAGACTGCACGCATCACAGGAGAAACAGACCTGCACTAATACAGAGGCCGGAGAGAGAAGACAGTACCGGGAACCCCATCCTAGACAGGAAACAAGGTGTAAGCCTCTACTCATGTCCAATAGAAGGGGGAGGAGTGTTGACCGGGCGGTAGAAGGGACTACCTACTCCTATTGCTTACTTGAAAGTTCGTTGTGCTGTTCTTCCAAGTGTCTTTTTAGTTCAAACTGTCATTAGCAAGAACATCATTTCAGATCAAACACTGAGGCCTGTCGTCTCCATTAGACTCCACCCATTTCATAAAACCATATTGCAAGTATTCCTCACTGTAAAGCCTTGTTACGTTTATCTTATTAAGGGTCTCAAAAGAAGTCCGCGTTTACTTCTTAAGGTTATTGTTGGTTTTCCTGTTCCTTCATCCTTCTTCTTTTTTCGAATGATATAATGATCCATCATTAGGATTGTTTCTGAAATATTCAAATAGCACAAATTAAAACTATTACAGGTACAATTTAAAAAAACAAAACAAAAAAAAAACAACAAAAAACAAAAAAAAAAACTTGCTGTTCGTAAATTTTATCGAAACAATAGGGAACTCATCAAAATTTCCGAGACTTCAAATGAACACAACACATTATCTTGCTAACACAGAAAGAATTTACAGGTCCTTGACTTCGATATTGAGTCGCAAATTCACTTTTAGTCCTGACTTCAGATGCAACTGAATTATTCAACAATTTTAACGTAGACGAACGCACTGCACATCTTTGTAGCTAAGCTTTGGTGCGAGTTCTTTTTCTGTGAGAGAACAAGATATATAAGCTCAATGACTATCCATATGTATATATTGAAATATATATAAGTATATATTAAAAAATATAATACAAAACTAGCAATGTTTTATGAGTCCTATGCAATATTTAGAGTTGTTTATATTCTGCACTTTGCTCTCGCTTGCGTATTATTTTCTTTCGTTCTTTTTTTTATCACAATAAATTTTATTTATCTCGTAAACCACTGAAGGGTCGCGACACACAGTTTGAAAAACACTGTCCTAGAAAATGTATTAAAGGAAAGAGGGAAGAAAAGACTAAATATTAATTGTAAGAAGACAGTGTCTATGGTGATAAGCAATAAACCCAAGATATGAGTGACGAATTGGAAACTACAAAAAAACAAAAAAAAAACACCCAACCTTACACGACTCCAAAAACTTGACATATAACAAACACCCTTACTTCAATTAAAGCAGTGATCATTACCAGAGTCGAGGAGGTGGCCTTGAACATCCCTCAGGCTCAGGCGGATGAACTGAGATGGAAAGTAAGACAGACTTAGGAGAGAGTCAAGACGCCCAGGTCTAACATAACAAAACTGGAGAGGCTGGCGATTGGATCCCTACAGAGGAACAAGAACATCATCATACTACCGGCTGACAAAGGTAATGCGACTGTAGTGATGGACAAATCAGATTATACAAGAAAACTGGAAGACCTCACTAGCAATGGTAGCTATAGCAAAGTGAAAAAGGATCCTACTATGAAAACGGAACGCAAACTGTCACAGATCCTAATGAAGAACAAGGATCACTTCGCACCTAAGACGTATAGGCAGTTATCGCAGCGTTACACCAAACTACCTCACATATACGGTCTCCCTAAGATTCACAAAGACGGTATTCCGCTCAGGCCGATTGTTAGTTGCCAAGGCTCTGTGTGCCACCCTCTGAGTTGCTTCCTTGTAGATATAATTGACCCATTGATCGGAAAGTCTCCTTCATATGTCCGAAACTCCGCCCACTTCGTGGAAATAATCAAAGATGCTCCTATCCTATCCAACCATATGGTGAGATTGGACGTGGTGAGTTTGTTCACCAAGGTACCCACGGAGGGGGCACTGACTCTTCCCTAGAAGAACGGACCAGTATTCCAATAGATAATCTGATGGAGATGTTGATTTTATGTACACAAACAACACACTTCGGAACGGGATCACAGATATATCGACAGGATGAGGGCTTATCACCAGCAATGGCGTATATATATATGGAATACTTTGAGGAAATGGCTTTATAATCTATATCTCTAAAGCCAACTATATGGTTAAGGTACGTAGATAACACTTTCATACTCTGGTCACACCAAGAAGATGTTCAGGTTCTACTAGACCATGTGAACTCAATAAGACCTTCGATACAATTCACAATGGAGAAAGAGAGTAACAACACACTTCCATTACTGGATGTTCTATTTCGAAAAGAGCATGGGTTTAAGACATCCGTATACTGTAAACCGACATTCACCGGACAGTACCTCAATTTTAACTCCCACCATCCATACAGTGTAAAGAAAGGGGTCGTCTGTTGCTTACAACACCAAGCAAAAGTCATAAGTGGCGACCCAGAGACATTAAATAAAGGATAGGCGGGTACAAGAGGAGGAGGAGGACAACAACACTCAGAAAACAGTCTGCCTGCCTTATATGAAGGGGATATAAGAGAAAATACAAAGGATCTGCGGTCCATATAACATCAGGACAACCTTGAAAAGCTTGACGACACTTCGCAGATATCTCTCCCGAGTAAGACCCCCCCCATAGAGGAGAACATGACTAAAGACTGTGTGTACGCTATCCCGTGCAGCTGCGGAAAGGAATATAAAGGAGAGACAGGCCGACCCCTCAAGGTAAGGCTTCAAGAACACCAGAAAGCTGTAACACGAGGGGAAGTAGAAAAATCAGGCGTGGCTGACCACATATGGAGAGAGAAGGGAGATCACCGCCCTCTGTGGGATCATGTTGAGATCATAGATAGGAACACCATTGGAAAATTCGTAAACTTAAGGAATCAGCACATATTCTAGGCCACAAAAATCTCCTGAGCCGACCAAGCATAGAAATAAATACAATATGGGAACCAGTAATAAGGAGTGCCAGAGAAAAGCAATGATAACAATACAAAGTTGCAATATGAGTTGTGGTAAAAACATGGATTGTTAATAGCAAAATTGCAATATGAGCACTGGTAAAATTGGTTGCTGAAGACATTAGGTTTATAATACCCAGAAAGTCATACCCAGAGTCCTCAAGGGCGCATGGCACAGTGGATAAAGTCGTTGGTCAGATCCAGGGACAGGACCCAAAGAGTCTGAGTTCAATACTCGGTTAAGGCAATTAACAGGAGTTAACTGATAACAGAACAGTGTACCCAGTGAGCGAAATAAAAGGTTCAGTTCGAAATTCCAACCACCTGGAGTTGGCCGAAATGTTGTGATAAATATGGCGACAAAGATGAGGACAATTGTCCGAATAATGTAAATAATAATTTATTATTAAAATTATTATAATAATGAAAATAAAAATATTAAAATGATTTTGAATGAATCCTAGAACCATTTGTAAAATACTTGCTGCATACCTACTTTTGTAGGCCTCTGTTTTTTTTTTTTTTTTGTGTGTGTGTGTGTGTGTGTGTGTGTGTGTGTATATATATATATATATATATATATATATATATTGAACGGATTTTTTATTCCGACAGATTTTTATTGTATTGTGTTGATTATGCAAATATATCAATAATAAACACATGAATACCCAACAATACGCAACTTGCAGCACCTGGTATTTCCAAGCGGTCACCCATCAAAGTACTGACCCAGCTCGTCGTTGCTTAACTGAGCCGTTCGGTGATCGTACGGGAACCAATTTTTCAACGCGATGTGGCCGTAACCTGCATGCAGATAGAAAAGCGCAGTACTGGATTGGCGGCAAGGTCTCATCATTTTTACAGTTGAAATGGTTAGATTTAACCGTAAGTTCTATGCAGACAGTTTCTTCTATCGCGCTTCACGCTTGTGGAACTCTCTTCCAGCTTCTTGTTAACTGCCATGGAGTGTGATGCATATACGCCCAATGTAAGAATTTAATACTGATTTTTTATTAGTAATCTTGGAAATGCAATCTCCGAGAGGTCATGAAAATTCATAAACATTTTTTTTTATACGGGGGTGGGGGTGATTATCACCTCTTGAATGGACTGATTTGTTTTATTTATGGCCTATCAAGTTTTTCTTTCGGCTTACTTAAAGCCAGAAAATATTTTTCGATTTAAAAAATTATTTTGGAGATAATAAAGATTAACTGGTACAAATGCTACTTATTAACCCATAACTAGTTGGTAAAGAGGTGGATTCATGCCTTTCCCACTATTATTTGTGCGTGAACAGAACGAACCCTACTGGAATTGCAAGTCGACAGTGCGATTTGCAAGGGTGTCTCTCCTCACCGTTTCATCTGCGTTGAGCACTCACTTATTTGTCTAAAGGCAAAAGTAATCCTAACGGAACCCATCCCTCTCCAGCCGATGTCTTCCAGCTTGAAGGCTCGCTTTGGTCACGGAGACGTTGCCTTTGATTTCATCAAGGGGACTCTTCACACTTGTCGTTGGCTTTACCTACGCCGAGGAATGCTGACTGCAGTGTAAATAACTCACCGTTTAACTTGTCTTATTTTTAATCCATATTGGATTACATGGTGCCAGTATCGCTTGTGTAGCGACATGGTATAATAATTTGATAGTGTACTGAACGTGGAAGTGAAGATGTACTGAACATTTGTTAATAAACGTGGATATGTAGGCGGACAGATGAATATGAAACGGAAGTTCATAATTGACAGCATCAGTGAACTAATGTTGATAAACCAACGACGAATTTATTAACAGATCAAAAAACATATTGTGGTCATTACAAAGAAGTTTCTGTAGAATTAATGGATTTATTTTTAGTCCGATATTCTGTTTTTAGTGGATATCCGTGTTTGAAATAGACGCCTCGTTTTTGTATGAGCCCTTCGCTATGGTACCAAGACTATTGTTTTTCAATAATTTACAGTTGAGCTGATTAGATGTAGCCATAAGTTCTATGCTAACAGTTTCGCTTGTGGAACTCCCTTCCAACTTAATGCTTTCCAGCCAACTTTAATCTGAAAAGAATTTATATGCAATGTCCTCCTGATTATTGTTTCCTCTTCCGATCATTATTAATGTTTCTATTCCTAATTCTTTCACACCCTGTAACCCCTTACGTTTTAATGGATTTAATGCCTTGATTGGGGTGATACAGATTTTAAAAATAGTGTCTATCATGTCTATTGACCAGCGCCCTCGAGAAATCTTCATAAAGAAAATTAAATCTCCACCGAGCGGTTAAAAATCAGTAATTCTCAACGTGGGTCCTTTGGCTCACAGTGGGTCTGAGACATTTTAAAAAAATGGCTTGCATTTGAAAATAATGACATAGTGAAAATAATGAAAATAGTTGGGTGAGGGTCTTTGAAATGATATTTTTTTTCATTGGCGTAAAATTATGAAAACCAAACTGATTTGCTGTTATATATGAATAAAGTGTCGCCCCGACACTTCTATTTGAACATAGATCCTCTTATTGAATTAAGTAGACCACGTGACCATAGAGGGAACGCATATATGGAAGGTAGCGTTACGTCTGATTGATCGCTATTTCTAGGCTATCCTCTATGCTATACGGATTACTATTTCTACTCTATCCTCTATTACTATACGGACCGATATTCTTTACTATATTTACTATACTATTTATCAATTCGTACCACTATACGGATTACTATTCGTGCGAGTATTATCGAGCAAGTACTATCAGTGCGAGTATTATTCGAAGACGTTTGACACTAGTATTGTTCAACGGCGTACTATAGTTGTATCTGCGATTACAAAGGCTCTACGAGCATTACGAAAGTGACATCGGGTATTCGTTGGCATCGCAAAAGTGTTAAACGAATGTTCGTTGACGTCACAAAATTTAATTTATTTTTAAAGGCAAATAATTCAGAAATTATTTAATTAATCTCGATGTTTTTGAATGAGATTGATGTTTTATTTTTAAAATAAATTATATTTTCAAATTGACTTGAAACATTTTCTATATTCTATTTGTGCATATGCGAGAGTGGAAGTTTTTTGACACCAAGAATGGATCACAAAGAAAGAAATGCGATGAAATTTGGGAAAAGACGCAGGATCAAGCGGTGGTTTCTTCAACAAAATCGCGACGCAGGTTCGAACCCTGCCACAGAGCACTTTTTTTTTTATTAAGATTTATCGAGTAACTAGACCAAAAGACGTAATATACAGTGTGTACTCTCGAGTAACACCCTATATATTATCTCTCAGTTGCGTCTTTGTCTTTGGGCAGACTGTCGCAACTGAGGAATAATTATTCTGACAGGTGCGCAGCACTGAGGAACAGATGCTCGAAGCTGTGCCCTCTCTTTGCAACAGAGAGAGAGAGAGAGAGAGAGAGAGAGAGAGAGAGAGAGAGAGAGAGAGAGAGGGTCGATGCTCGCACCGAGGCCAGCGCAACCGTCGGGCTCCCCACATTGAACCGACCTTATGTCATAACCTGACCTCGTGATGAGGGGGAGGGGGTTGATTAAATACATATATATAGAGTTTAAACCCCCCCCCCCAAAAAAAAAACTTGACGTCTATTTCAAACACGGGTATCCAACACAAATAGCGTTTGAAGTATAAAAAAACGATTAAGTGTTAGATTGCTTTCGATACCTTTTCACAAATATCAGATTTGTTGCCTTCCCCCACGTCCGTCGGAGATTCCTAGCCGCTGTAGCGTGCAGACGAGACCATGAAAGCCTTTTTTTCCATAATTCAAAATTAAGCGTAAGACTTAATCTACGAACAGACCTCGATGCGAAATATGAGAAAGCCAGCAACGGTCGCCTTTTCAACGGTAATGAAAACAAAATCGAACTGACAGCGCTCCTTTCACGACTACTTCGCCTGATCACTTTCACCCTATCAAATCAGAAGAAGGAACAGGGACGGCATCCATCTTCTTATTATTATTATTTTTCTCATCATCTGCAGCATAAGTACAAGCTCTTTCTTTTTCTTTTTCTCATCCGCAACATTCCAACTATTCGTCCAATATTCTTCCTTTGAATCAGCCCGATATGTCAGGTAAACCCAATGTCAACGGGCATTTGAAACGTGGACAAAAGAAGTGCTTCACAGACACGCTGAGTATCTTTCCTATTATTGGTTCTGACATTTGGAAGCAAGGCTTTTCATGATTGCATCAGGCAACACCCCCGTATGGAAGAAAGGAACGAGATTTGCGAGCCAAATACTATGTTACAATACTTATCGAAAAGTTGACGTGATTTTGAATTGTTTCTCTTCGTAACTTCTTAATTACATACGAGACAATAGCCTACCGAATAAAAGATTTGTTGAAATGTGCCTAGTTGTCGTTAGTTCAACTCCTTGATCAGGAAGTGATTTGTTTTTACGGTCTATCAATCTTTTTTAGGTTATTTAAAGCCCGAAAATATTTTTAGATTTTAAGAATTTTTCGGCGATAATAATGATTTACCGATACAAATCCTACTAATTAAACTATCGGGTCGACCGGAAATTTCCATCTCAAGTTTTAGGAGCCCGCATAGTCTCGTTGTTGCACTTCCGGTAGCGATGAAAACATTCAAAATACAATATAAATTATAAACCAACCAATGACAGCGTTTGCCTCGCGTTTACGAGGGACTGTCTGTGAGCCAGCATCTGCTTAAGGGAAGCTATAAATACAGACCATAAAACAATCAAGTAGCAGTTGGCGAATTGATTTTGCGTTGTCAACTCAACTGGCTTACTGATCTACTGAAACATTCCACGCTTCTCAGACGTAGATTCAACAATAAATACAAGGTATGAACTTTCCCCCTTTCAAGGTGTTTTATTAAACACACCTCGGTGTGTGTTTTGTCTATGAACTTTCCCCCTTTTCAAGAGGTTTTATTAAACACACCTCTATGTGTGTCTGGTCTACGAACTTTCTTCCTCTCAAGGAATTTTACCAAACACAGATCAACTTTTATAAGCAATATTAAATCATCCTCAAATATGAGACTCGTTAAAAAGAGCTTCAGCTAATTTGAAAGCCATGACGTTGTTCGAAGCAATAGTTTGCTGTAAGCTTTTATATGTTAAAAAGGGGGAAATAGCCATTTTCTGGCGTACAAAGAAATCCAATTAACGTTCCAAGAAGAGGGGTTCTCATAGCATGAAGTCTCAGTCTCCACATGTTGCAGCAAGACTGCAATTCACAATGCTATCGTCAAGTACCAAGTCGGTGGCTCTTAATTTGACCTAAAGTAAGGTCGACGTCCCAGAAAAAAAGAAAGAAAGAAAGAAAGATGATCGTATCATCAAATCAATCGACTCACAGTTTCAGATTCATGCAAAAATAATGTTCTGCTTCTCAGTGATACAGATTTGAGTCGTAGGACAGTTTCTCGCAGATTGGTCAATAGATTTCAAATAAGATTCTGCAAACCTACCTGAAAACCAAGGTTAACTGGAAGCGCCAGTCATTTACCCAAAAATAAAAAAAAACAAGAAAACAAAAACAAAAAAAAAACAAACAAAAACAAAACAAAAAACATTAACATTGGACAGAGAAACAATGGAGAACCCTTGCGTTTTTTGATGAAGCCATACTGTAGCAGTTTTTTGTGCGTCAGCATTATGTCAGAAGGGCACTAAGAAAGAGACCATCTGGTCTATTGCTCCGGCTAGATATTTAGACATTCTTGATAAACTCCAAAGAAGAATCTGAAATGTTATTGGTTCTGACCTGGCATCTCGGCTTCAGTCCCTTTCCCATCGCCGTAAC